ATAGCCCTTTCACCCTAACATGTAAGCTCTTTGAGGGCAGGTTCTTTGTTTTGTTCACTGAATTTCCCAAGTTCACAGCGCCAGGTTAATAGTAGCCACTTGACACATATTTATTATTATCCCAAAGGATTAATAACCAAATGAAAAAGGTGAGGTTTGGAAAGGCGAATATAAACTATCCAAATCAGTATGGAAAGAACTTGTTAAGCATAACATAAAAAGGAAGCAAAACCTAAACTGGAAAAGATCATTAGATTTAACTATTTAAACACATACACCTACTTCCCCAAACCCTTTTGGACAAATGGTATTTCTATCATATGTGGAATGCTAGGGCTAATCTTGTTTTTTTAATTAGTAAGAAAAAACTGAACAAGCTAATAGAAAAATGGGTAAGGCAACAGTTCTTGAAGTGTGTTCTGGTGACTCCAGGGGTTCCCAAGACCATTTCAGGGGGCCTGTGATTATTTTCACAATAATACTAAGATGTTGTTTGCCTTTTTCACTATGTGGACACTTGTACTGATGATGCAAAAGCAATGAGGGCTCTTAGAATGAATCAATAAAGTGACACCACGCACCCCTATGCTCGTTGCAGTGTTATTTACAATAGCCAAGATCTGGAAGCAGCCCAAGTGTCCATTAGTAGGTGAGTGGATAAGGAAGCTGTGGTGTGTTTACACAATGGAATACTACTCGGCCATAAAAAGAAGGAAATCTTACCTTTTGCAATAGCATGGATATATCTGGAGAGTATTATGCTAAGTGAAATGAGCCTGTCAGAGAAAGTCAAGTACCATATGAGTTCACTTATATGTGGAGTCTAATGAACAAAATTAAAAAACAAAATAGAACTAGACTCATAGATATAGAGAACAGACTGACAGATGTCAGAGGGGAAGGGGGCTGGCAGGCTGGGTGAAAAAGGTGAAGGGATTAAGAAAAAAAGAAAAGAACTCTCATAGACACAGACAACAGTATGGTGATTACCAGAGGGAAAAGGGATGGGAGGATGTAGAAGAGGGTGAAGGCTGGGGGATAAATGGTGATGGAAGGAGACCTGACTTGGGGTGGTGAACACACAATGCAATATACAGATTATAGAATTGTACACCTGAATCTATTTAACTTTATTAACCCACGTCACCTCAATCCATTAAAAAGAAAAGTGACACCAACCTGTACTAGTAATCATGTTCTTCACCACCACGCCACTTTCACTTATGGAAGTCCTTGATGATGCAGTAAAAATTATTAAGTTTAGTAAATCTTGGCCCTTGAGCTCACATCTTTTTTTAAAAATAGACTTTGATTTTTAGAGCAGTTTTAGGTTCACAGCAGAAGTGAGCAGAATGTACAGAGTTCCATTATTCCCCGTCCCTGCACTTAGTACATAGTCTCCCTTACTATCAATGTCTCCCACTAGAGCAGTGCACTTGTTACAGCTGATGAATTTATACCAGCACATTGTAATCACCCAAAGTCCATATTTTATATTAGGATTCACTCTTGGTGTTATACATTCTATGTTTTTTTTTTAATTAAATCTTTATTGTTCAGATTATTACATTGGTTCCTCTTTTTCCGAACAGACTGACAGATGTCAGAGGGGAAGGGGGCTGGCAGGCTGGGTGAAAAAGGTGAAGGGATTAAGAAAAAAAGAAAAGAACCCTCATAGACACAGACAACAGTATGGTGATTACCAGAGGGAAAAGGGATGGGAGGATGTAGAAGAGGGTGAAGGCTGGGGGATAAATGGTGATGGAAGGAGACCTGACTTGGGGTGGTGAACACACAATGCAATATACAGATTATAGAATTGTACACCTGAAACCTATGTAACTTTATGAACCCACGTCACCTCAATCCATTAAAAAGAAAAGTGACACCAACCTGTACTAGTAATCATGTTCTTCACCACCACGCCACTTTCACTTACGGAAGTCCTTGATGATGCAGTAAAAATTAAGTTTATTAAATCTTGGCCCTTGAGCTCACATCTTTTTTTAAAAATAGACTTTGATTTTTAGAGCAGTTTTAGGTTCACAGCAGAAGTGAGCAGAATGTACAGAGTTCCATTATTCCCCGTCCCTGCACTTAGTACATAGTCTCCCTTACTATCAATGTCTCCCACTAGAGCAGTGCACTTGTTACAGCTGATGAATTTATACCAGCACATCATAATCACCCAAAGTCCATATTTTATATTAGGATTCACTCTTGGTGTTATACATTCTATGGTTTTGACACATGTATATTGACATGTATCCACTATTATAATATCATACAGAATAGTTTCACTGCCCTGAAGACTCTCTGTGTATCACCTATTCATCCCAGCCTCCCCGCAACTCCTGGCAACCATTGATCTTTTCACTGTTTCTATAGTTTTTTTGTTTGTTTGTTTGTCTTTTAAAATATATTTTATTGCTTTTTTACAGAGAGGAAGGGAGAGGGATAGAGAGTTAGAAACATCGATGAGAGAGAAGCATCGATCAGCTGCCTCCCGCACACCCCCTACTGGGGATGTGCCTGCAACCAAGGTACATGCCCTTGACTGGAATCGAACCTGGGACCCTCCAGGCCGACGCTCTATCCACTGAGCCAAACAGGCTAGGGCTGTCTCTATAGTTTTGACTTTTCCAAAATATCATACAGTTAGAATTATACAATATATAGACTTTTTAGATTGGCTTCGTTCACTTAGTAATATGCACTTAAAGTTCCTCCATGTCTTTTTTCTATGGTTTTGACACATGTATATTGACATGTATCCACTATTATAATATCATACAGAATAGTTTCACTGCCCTGAAGACTCTCTGTGTATCACCTATTCATCCCAGCCTCCCCGCAACTCCTGGCAACCATTGATCTTTTTACTGTTTCTATAGTTTTGCCTTTTCCAAAATATCATATAGTTAGAATTATACAATACGTAGACTTTTTAGATTGGCTTCGTTCACTTAGTTATATGCACTTAAGGTTCCTCCATGTCTTTTCATGGCTTGACAGCTCATTTTGTTTTAATGCTGAGAAATAGTCCATTGGCTGGACGTACCACGGTTTATTATCCTTTTACCTAAGGAAGGACATCTTTGTCACATCCAAGTTTTGGCAACTATGAATGAAGTTCCTATAAATATTTGTGTGCAGGTTTTTGTGTGGAAATGTTTTCAAGTCATTTGGGCAAATACCAAGGATCACAATTGCTGGATTGTATGGTAAGACTGTGTTCAGTTCTGTAAGAAACAGGCTGTCTTCCAAAGTGACTGTACCCCTTTGTATTCCCACCAGCAATGAATGAGAGTTCCCATTGCTCTGCATCCTCACCAGCATTTGGTGTTGTCAGTGTTTCAGATTTCTTGCCATTTTAATAGGTGCGCAGTGGTATCTAATTGTCGGTTTAATTTGCAATTCCCTAATGACATGTGATACTGAGTATCTTCTTAGCTGTTATTTGCCATCTGCGTATCTTCTTTGGTGGGGCATCTGGTCAGATCTTTTGCCCATTTTAAATTGTCCTTTTCTTATTTATGAGTTTCAAGAGTTCTTTGTATATTTTGGGTAACAGTTTTTTTTAATAATATATTTTATTGATTTCTTTACAGAGAAGAAGGGAGAGGGATAGAGAGTTAGAAACATCGATCAGCTGCCTCCTGAACGCCCCCCACTGGGGATGTGCCCGCAACCAAGGTACATGCCCTTGACCGGAATCGAACCTGGGACCCTTCAGTCCGCAGGCCGACGCTCTATCCACTGAGCCAAACCGGTTCGGCTTGGGTAACAGTTTTTTATCAGATATATACCTCTTGCAAATATTTTCTCCCAATCTGTGGCTTGTCTTCTTATTCTCTTGAGCTTCTTTCATCTTTAATTTTATAACTTCTGTAGTTAAATTTTTTTCAATGACCATAATAACTTAAAAAAATATCTTTATTGATTTTAGAGAGGAAGGGAGAGGGAGAGAGAGAGATAGAAGCATGATGAGAGAGAGAATCATTGATTGTATGCCCCCTACTGGGAATCAAGCCTGCAACCCCGGCATGTGCCCTTGGCCAGAATCGAATCTAGGACCTTTCAGTCCGCAGGCTGACGCTCTCTTCATTGAGCCAAACCGGCTAGGGCGACTATAATAACTTTTAAAGATAGCTTTATTTCACATACCATATAATTCACCACTCAAAATGGGAAATTTCATATTTTAAATATCTTCCAATGGTTGTGCAACCACCACAATCTAATTTTAGGCCATTTCATCACCCCGCAAAGAAACCCTGAACCCATTAGCAATCATACCTCATTCCCTACCGCCACCATTCCCAGCCCTAAGAAACCACTAATCTACTTTATGTCTCCATAGATTTATCTATTCTGGACATTTCATACAAATTGAATCATGTAATATGTAGCCTTTTATAACTGGTTTCTTACACTAACAATGTTTTCAAGGTTCATCCATGTTGTAGCACGAATCAGTGCTTTGTTCCTTTTATTGATGAGTAACATTGCAGGGCTACATTATATTTTATTTATCCATTCATCAGTTGATGGGCATTTGGGTTTAGACTTTTTGGCTAGTATAAATGATGCTGCTATGAACATTCATGTGCAAATTTTTTGTGTGGACATATGTTTTCATTTCTTTTGGGAATAGACCTAGGAGTGGAATTACTGGGCTAGATGATAAATATATATTTAACATTTTAAGGAACGACCAAACTTCTCCAAAGCAGCTGTACCATTTACATCTCTACCAACAATATATGTAAAACTTTTGAAATTAAAACAGATACTCTTTTTAAAGACTTCTAGGGCTGTTCCGGTAGATCACAGTAGGCGCCCAGTAACTGTTATGGAAGGATGAATGCATGGTTTGAATAAGACGAGAGGAACTGAACATGGAAAATAGAGTGGGGGATGGGTGAGCCCCTGACAGTAACTTTCACTCCAGCACTAGCTGGCCAGGCCTCTCTGAGCCCCATGTGATTCCCAAACAGGATCAACCAACCCCTTCTGAGCTGGAGATTGACCTGGAAGCTCTCATGGAACTATCCACAGAGGAGCAGAAAACTCAGTTGGAGGTAGAATGGGGGCTGGGCCCTGGGGCCAGGGGTTGGGGTTGGAAGCTGGGCTTGGACTAAGGGGAAGCTAGGAACCCAGGCTCTGCCTCCTTGGGTGGCGTGGGAGAACCACATCAGAGGGAATTCCTGGAAGACTGAGTGGGGGCTTGTGGGAAAGTGCGGTGGCTCAGGGACCCACTGTCTGCTCTCTTCTACCCAGGCTCTTCTCCGAGACTGTCCCAGCCCCACAGAGGTAAGGACGCTTTGCTGTTGTGGGGGTGAGAGGAGGCCCAGTGGGGAGGAAACTAATGAAAGGAAAGCTTGGGCCTGCGTCTTTCCCCCCTTCAGTGGCTCTAGGACAGCAGCGGTTCTCAACCTGTGGGTCGCGACCCCTTTGGGGGTCGAATGACCCTTTCACAGGGGTCGCCTAAGACCATCAGAAAACACATATATAATTACATATTGTTTTTGTGATTAATCACTATGCTTTAATTATGTTCAGTTTGTAACAATGAAAATACATCCTGCATATCAGATATTTACATTGCGATTCATAACAGTAGCAAAGTTATGAAGTAGCAACGAAAATAATTTTATGGTTGGGGGTCACCACAACATGAGGAACTGTATTAAAGGGTCGGGCATTAGGAAGGTTGAGAACCACTGGCCTAGGAGATGGGGTAAGGGAGATATTAGGGAGGACATATGGTGGTGGGTGTGACTCCATGCCTTAATCTCACCCATTTCTTCTTCAGCCTTTTATCTCCGAACTGCTCAGTCAACTCAAGAAACTCCGGAGACTCAGTCGGCCTCAGAAATAAGACTTGTCAGACTACGTTTAGCAGCCTCAGCACCGTCAGGCCTGCCCCGAGCCTCTGGATCCCAGGCTGAGAGGGAAGTGGCTCCTTGGAACATGGACAAGGAACATTGGAAGATGAGGAGGTCACATGTGCCACCCCTGCTGTATGTACCGTCACAGCTAGCTCCTGTCAGTTGGGCTTTCTGGGAGCCAGTCATGGCTGCTGCCCAGTGTTTTCCTTGACAGCCAAGTGGATAAAACCTTTAGGAGTCCCAGCTGAATGGAGTGTGGAGCATGTCTGTGCTGAGGGGTGGGAGAGGGAGAGGGTGAAGTGATATACCAGGAGGCGAGCATCCTGGCACACTCTGTCCTCCCACCTCACCATCCAACCATCCATCCAATCTTTGAGAATTTAAAAATGAAGGTCACAGTTCTGCTTCAGAGATCACAATCTAGCAAGGCCCTGAGGCTAAGACACAAAGCATCCTGTCATCATCAACAGGAGCCCAAGTGGCAAAGACCAGTTTTGAATCCCAGAGGAGGCAACAGGAAAAAGCTATCTGGGTCTGGGACATCAGGGAAGGCTGAAACCTCCTCCCCGGCTAAGTGATGCAGGAGGCCTCCGGCTGAGGACTCTTTCCAGAGCTGGCTCCAGCCAGAGGAAGAGAAAAAGCAGGGGCTAAGCAGAGGGGGATAGGGTTCAGGCTAAGAGGCCAGGGGTCAGGTCAGGAGGGAGGTGCTAGCAACAGACACGAGTCAGAACAGCAGGCAGGTTGGCACAGGAGCCCTGGAAGTTGGTTCCCTTTGGGAATACGGCAGGAAGCAGGGTGTGCTTCCACTGTTTGTGCGCGCAGCGTCTGAGTCCTAGAGAGGCCAAGAATCACGACAGTGGGGGCTGGGGCTAAGTTGGGCTGCCCAGAGCAGGACCCACACTTCCGTTCAGTTGAACAAATTCATGCCTCTGGTCTACGAGGCCTCCGAGACGGGTGGTACTGTTCCTGACGGGAGAATCTTACATGAGGGCTCAACCTCTCCTCTCTCTCACTCCGTAGGACTGGATTTACAGCCTACTTTGCTTTTGCCACCTCTCCAAGGACCCAGGCTCAGGGCCCACAGGTTCTAGAGATCAACGATGCTGGGCCCAAGGACTCAACATACTTTATTTGATACATTAAGTGCTGGGGCGCTTGAGCAGGTTTCAAGGCTCATTCTTAGATTCAGTCTGGTCTTTCCAGTCCAGGCCTGCTGGTGGAGGGCTCCTCCAGTCACCATTTCCAATGCAGCTCATTCTTAGATTCAGTCTGGTCTTTCCAGTCCAGGCTTTGCTGGTGGAGGGCTCCTGACTCCTGCCTTCCCTCGGCTCCTCCAGTCACCATTTCCAATGCAAAATCCTCCCCCCTTCATGGACATCGAGGCTCAGGAAAGGGTGCACCCATGAGCAGTCTAGCTTGAAATGCTCTCCCATCAGATGCCCCGAGTCTGGGCCCAGAGGTGGGTGCCCCAGCCTGTGTGACTGCCTGTAGGACGACCTTCCTGGGAGGCCGGGGTGTCCTCAGTGTCCTTGGCCTGCATGTGGGGGGTGGTAAGCAGATGTCTGGTGCTCTTTAAGTTCAAAGGCATCATGGCCTTCCCTGTGGAAAAAGAGAAACAGGTCAGGGATCACAGGCAGCCCTTGGGCATCCCAGTCCCACAGAACATTCCGCCTGCACCCACCGGAAGCAGCGGACACAGTAGAGGTCTCCGCCGCAGCCAGCACAGCGCAAGGTGGCATCCTCATTGCAGATGCAGCACCAGGGGAGCTGCTCTTCCTCAGCTTCAGGCCTGGGGGCCAGAGCCTGGGCCTTCAGGGAGCAGACAGGAATGGGGGAAGTAAGGTCCCTGAGGGGGTATGGGGGGGGTGCTGCCAGAGCAGTCAGCCAGTCAGCGGGAGGCTGCGGAGGCCCCTCAGTCTGTGTCTGGGGCTTTTCTCACCTGAGGCTCTGCCCTGCAGGATTTGGCCGGGGGTTGGAGTGTTGGCTCTGCCGGGATGTTAAAGCCACTTGCCTCATCCAGGGCAGCTTCTTCAGTGAGCTGTGGACAGGGCAAAGAGGACAGCTCCCTGCTCGTGGCCCAGGTCCTCCCCCACCCCGCCGAAGGTGCTGTGGCCTTAGCTTCTCAACCCATCTTCCTTTATTGGTTGCCTATGGCTGCTGACACCCCTTCTCAAGGGGCCAGGGGGCAGGTCTGGGTCACAGGGACAGAGGGACCCCAGCTGGAACAGCAGCAGCAGAGCGACTGGCTATTGAGTCCCAGATGGAGGCAGGATGAATGGGGCCAGGTGGGTGGTGGGACAGTGAGGTGGGGGCCGCACAAAGGGCGGCCAGTGGGAAAGGCAGGCCCACCTGCTGCAGGACTCTCTGGATGGCCGTCTCCTCATCCTCATCATCATCGCTGTCTGGGAGGCGATAGTCTTGGAGGGTCACTTGAAGAGGGAGAGAGGTAGGAGCAGGGGAGGAGTGAGGCTGAGAGAGTTCGCCGGAGTGGCTACACTCTTGCTCCCAGGAGCTGGTTTGGTTTCCAGCGGCACTTGGTCCAGAGCTGAGCAGTCTCTGCAGCCATTCTGATCAGGCCTCCCCCTCCCTGCTCCACCCGGCAGGGCTCGGGGTCAGGAGCAGAAGGCTCTGCACCTGAAGGGACTGGGGGTCCCCTGCCCCCTGATGGCGGCCACTTTTTTCTCAGCCACTGCTTTGCTCCAGTACTTTCCTTGTGGCTCTGGGCAGAACTCGATAGACCCCCGGGCACAGAGACCCCCACCCCCCCGGCAGCCCTTTCACAGAACTTGGCCTGGGTGTGGGGGCTGCTCCCCAGGTTCTACCTCTGTCAGGGTCCCGTCCCCGAAGCACAGCCAGGCGCTTGGCAAGGTCCAGGATCCGCTCTTGCCTCGTGTTCTCCTCCCGCAGCTCGACTGCAGCTTCAGCCAGCAGCCTGCTCTTCTCCCCATCCAGGGACCGGATGGCCTGCCCCTTGGAATTAGCACTCAGGCCGCCTGGCCAACCCTGGTTGAGGTCATTCTGAATAGCGGCAGCTGGAAGGAGCAATGCAGTCAGGGAGGCAGAGATATTCCAAGATCTCTCATCAGAAGCCACTGAGCCCATTTCTCAATCTTTTATAAAAACCTACAGAGCATCAGCTTTTTGTTCAACACTAGCTCACATGGTTTATATTACAAACGAAATATCAGGTGGGCTGGGATGGATGTAGTTGGAAAAAACCTCTACGATTACCAGTGTTTTATATTGGGGGGAAAATGGTCTGAGAATCAGTGCCCCAAATAATCAGGTTATGGGGAGGCCAAAGTTCAGCCAGTGTCTCTGCCTTACAGGCTGAATCAGCATTTCCAGGGAGCAGCACAGAGAGGACATGGCAGAACCTGAGGTCTTATGTGTGACTAGGCTGGAAGAATTTTGACAGAGTGGGTGTGGCTTTGACATGTTCCCTTTAGCTCACTATCAGACCAAAAGGTTTGAAAGCAGACAGCTTTGGGTTCAAGTCCTAGCTTTGTTATTTAATGGCTGTGTGATCTTGATCAAGGTCCTTAAGCTCACCAGGCCTCAGTTGCCTCATTTATAAAATACGGATAATAAGAGTGTGTACCTCATAGGATTACTGAGGATGATCAATGAGATGTGTCTCTAAAGCAGGGCTTCTCGATGGTGGTTCTATTGACATTTGGGGCAGGATAATTCTTTGCTGTGGGGCTGTCCTGTGCATTACATGATGTTTTAGCGGCATCCTTAGCTTCTGCTCACTAGGTGCCTGTGGTACATTCCGAGTTGTGACAACCAGAAAGTCTCCAGACACTGTCAAATGGGCCACGGAGGGGAAATCATCCTTAGTTGAGAACCACTGCTTGGAAGCCTTGAAATAGCACAGTCTAATATGATTTTTATAATGATGGAAACATTCCACATCATGGTTTATATTTGTGCAGTCCAAGATGGTAGCCATGAGCCACATGTGGAATTGAGCACTTGAAATGTGGCTAGTACCACTGAGGGGACAGAATGTTACATTTTATTTAATTTTAATTAAATTTAAGTAGCCTCTTCCTCCTCCTTATCATCATCATTGCAAAGAACACTCACTGAGCACTTACTACAGCCCAGGCAGGGTCCTAAGAGCTTATTGGATAATCTCATTCATTCCTCGAAACTTCCCCACAGGTAGGTTTTAACATCCCCCCCCCCGCCCCCCATTTTACAGATGAGGAAAGCGAGACTTTCCCAGGATCACACAGCTGGTAAGTGGGAGGAGAGAGAATCACTGACTGATTCTAAAGTCCACACACTATCCACTAGGCTTACACTGGCTCCCATAGAAGTAAACACTCAATAAATGGTAGCTCTTATAATGTTGATTGTTCTCTGATTTACATATATTCACCTCCCAGTGGGCCACAGAGCCTCTCCCACCTGGGGAGAAAGGAGGGCAGGTCCCTGGGGCCCAGGTGGAGAAGTTACCTGGGCTTCCTCCTTCCCAGCTCTCATCAATAGCCACTTCTGCCGTGAGCTGTGTCAGCAGATCCTGCGCCTGCTGGGCCTGGGTCCTGGTGTCTGGTGGCTGATGCGCCTGCTCAGAGGAGGGAACTCAGTGGGGATCAGGACGGGGAAGCCACACCATCAGGTCCAGAGCAGTCTATGTCAGTGAAGGCTGAGGAGCCCCCAAAGCTCAGGGAAAGGGGCTAATCCAGGGCCCACATAATTGAGTAGGTCTGACAGTCCCCAACCAGGCGGGGCCACTCTTTCCTGCCCCATCCAATCCTGCTTGTCCCTGGTTCCCTGGCCTGGCAGCAGACCTGAGGATCCGGGGGTGGGAGTCAGAGGCTTGCCAACTCCTACGGAGTACATAAGCACACATGTACTAGGACCCCCTTCCCTCTCAAGCCACAGCACTCACCGGCTGGGGGGTCTGAGAAGGTGGAACTCTGCCCTGTAGTGCGGCAAGCCGTGCCTCCATCTCCTGGGTGGAAGGGATGGAACTCTGGGTTTCGCCCCTCAGTGCGGCTAGCCTGGCTTCTATCTCTGCCTGTGAGGGCACTGACTCTGCAATTGGCATGGGGGAAATCTGTAAGGTCCAGAGGAATCCCAGTCCCAGGAGCCCCAGATATTGTCCTTTAGGCCAGCGGTCGCCAACCTTTCGGACCTCATGGACCACCAGTGGTCCGCAGACCACCAGCTGGCGACTGCTGCTTTAGGCCACCCTGCCTGCCCCTACTCACTGGGCTTGTTCTCCTGGCGGAGCCGTGCTAGGCGCTCAGCGATGGCTTGGTCTTGTGGGGTCAGTCCATGGCTCTGGGGAATGCTGGACTTCTGCTTGGCTTCCAAGGCTGCCACACGCCTGGCAGGATATGAGGTAAAGGCTCTTGAAGAAGGCAAAAGGGAGGGGTGAAGGCACCCCCTCACTTTTCCCCATTCAAATCATTTCTAGGCATCTAGGGAGGCCTCCAATGGACAATCTTCTGTGGTCCTCATGCATGTTGGCCTGCAGCTCAACCCAGCTGCCCAGCCAGAGGGTCCAACGGAAAGGATGTGAATCAAGAACTGTTTCTGGGGAGAGGGCTCATGAGCTGCTTTCTGATCCCAAGAGGGCAGGTAGGAGCCTTCAAGATGGATAGTCTCCTGGCTCTGTGTTCATCTGATCGAGAGGCTGGGAAGAGAGTCCATCCCTGGGGCTCCCTTGCCCTTTCCCCATCCACATTTGTCTCTGTCCCCTCAGCACTTACTTCTTATAGTTCTGAGGTGGTGACCACTTGGAGGCACTGGCAGGAGAAGATCCTCTATAGAGAAGAAATCTGGTTTCAGAAGCCCTGACATCTGCCAATCAGTGCCCCCCACCCCGAACACTTCCTGGGCTGACCTCGGGCCACAGAGCACAGGCTACCAGGGTTGGCCAGCTGCCTGCTGCCATGGTTGGCTGAATCCTCGCCCTTGTCAGCTTCTCACCTGGTCAGGACCTCGTGGCACTGTTTGCAGACTTTCTGTTGGGTGTTCCCGGCCCGGGGCACCGCTGCACTGAAGCTAAGGCAGCTGGAACAGAAGGCCCGGCCACAATTCTTACAGCCAATCTACAAGAAACACGAAGCAGGGTTATCCACGTCTCAACCACCCAGGTAGGCTCCTCCCTGGCACTCTCTGAGCACCTAGACCAGAGAAGACGACACTGAAGTTATGAACAGCTGCCGAGAAGAGGATGAGGGGCGGGGACCCTAAGGCCTGGGGAGACACAAGGGTGGAGTAAAGTGATTCCTCTGTCTCCAGTCGTTTATTCAAATCAGGGAAAGCTTCATACAAAATTTCCATGCTTTCTGTCTAACCGGTCTTCAACTTCCTGACACTGGGGTATAGAAGACAAACAGGCAAAGCCCCTGGTCACTGACTCCTCAACAAAGGAGAATCAGAGAAAGTATCAGCAGAGCTCACGCCTTCTCTGCTCCAGCAAGACGGAGGGAGGCGTGGCTCAGGAGGGGACATAACAATAGCCTCCATTTATTAAGCACTTACTGTGTGTCAGGCGCTAAGCTCAGTATTTAACATTCTTCAGCTGATTTAATCCTCAGAGTTTCTGCACACTATTTTACTTAATCCTGATGCCCAGCATTACTGTTCCTATTTTAGGTGGGGGTCAGAGAGGTTACATGACTTGCCCAAACAAAAGTCACCCCCTGAATAAGGCATCAGAGCTCAAATTTGAACGCTGACCACCCTGCCTCCCAAACCCAGGTTTCCAAGTACTGCACGGACCTGCCTCCCTAGGTGCTTCACTCACCCTATGTGGTTCCTATCCGCTAGTCACTGCTAACACAGCCGGCCTGCAGTTACCAGGGGAACTCGGGGGTCTGTGCTGGAGGGCGGAGAGACTCTGCCATGGAGCCCTGCGGGCAGGGGAAAGGTCGGTAACCTAACGGAGGGAACCCGGAAGGGCAGGCTGCGAGACGGCGAGGGTTCCAGAGCAGAGGGAGTAACGGGACAAGGCGTGATGGAGAGTGGGCACAGGGCGGTGGAGAAGCAGCAGGACCGAGGGGAGGAAACAGCCGGACCCTACACTTGGCAGACAGAAAAGTCTAGCTTTCCAAAACCCACAGGAGCGCGCCTTACAGTTTACAGAGAGCTTTTCCCTCCAGCACCTCGCTGGACCCACACCAACCGGCAAGCGAGGGAGTGCTAGCCCCATTTTACAGAAATGGGAACTAAGGCGCAGTGGCTGAGAACCACACTGCTGGAAAAGGCTGGAAGGCAGTCTATGGGCTGCAAGTCCCGTGTATTTCCCTCCACTCCGCGTTCTCCCTGGCCCTCCAGCCACGGGGAGAGAAGACTCACCTCCTTCTTGAAGAGGGTGAACTTGACAGCGCAGCCGTAGCACCTGCTCTCCATCCTGGCTCCCGGCGTGGCGGGGCACGGCCGACAGAGTTGCGATCACGCCCGCGAGGTACGGGGCCCGTGGACCTTCACCCAGCTCCGCCCCTGTCCCTCACACCCACTCGCGCGAGCCTGCCACGGCCTCCCGCAGGGAAATCGCGACCGGCCATCCTGGTTGGAGAGCAACAGCGGCGGGCGCGAGGGCTGCTGGGAGTTGTAGTTCATTTACGACAGCCCGCTTCCTTCAGTGGCAATCGAGCTTGACACAGAACACGACATTTCCCAGGGGGCTAAGCGCCATTTAGCGGCTCGGGGCCGACAGTGTTCCGGAAGAGTCCCGCGCACGTTTAGACTCTTGGGAGTTGTAGTACGAATCCGGTCAGGGTTGGAATCATGTCGGTGGCCAAGGAGCTCTTACAGATGGACCTGTACGCGCTGCTAGGCATTGAGGAGAAGGCGGCGGACAAAGAGGTGAGAATGGTGGTGAGGAGGGCCGGTCCCGGGAGGTCGGGCGACCCTTCCTGTCTTGGCGCCTAGACTGACATCCGCTGTCCAGGTTCGGCCGGGCCCTGGGCCGGTAGCGAGGGGCGGCCTGACGGCCTCAGAAGCTGGGCTCCCAAACCATTCTAGGGCGGTCAGAGAGCCTCACGAGGAAGAAGGGGTCACCGAGGAGAGGCTCCTCGTGCGGGATTCTGTGCTCTCCCTCTGACCCTAGTCTAGGAGAGGCTGTGGGTGAGCCTGGGAGGGAATGCTAGCCTCCTCCGTGCGCCTGCGCGGGCTCAGCCTCTAATTCCGCTTGTGTCGTGACTGCGGCTGGAGGCACTTCAGTCTCTCCTGAAGGCTGATTAACTCCGCTTAGACGCAGTGGTTCTCAGCCTGCTGGCCCTTTAAATACAGTTCCGCATGTTGTGACCCGACCATAAAATTATTTTCGCTGCTACTTCATAACTGTAATGTTGCTACTGTTATGAATCGTAATGTAAATATCTGATATGCAGGATGGTCTTAGGCGACCCCTGTGAAAGGGTCCTTCGACCGCCAAAGGGGTCGCGACCCACAGGTTGAGAACCGCTGGTAGAGCCTAGGACGAAAAAAGGCTCAAGGCGCCTCCACTCCCTCTGCACCCCCTCCTGGGACCTATGACCCTGCCGTCTGTTTTCTTTTCCATCCCAGCTCATTGACTCTTCAGGTAGCAGGTGCTCAGGTGTTGTCCTTTCAACATGCGCTAGTGGGCCCAAAGCAGGAGGATCCTAGGGAAAGGCAGATGGCCTGAAGTTCCCCAGGAAGGTGTTTGCAAAGGCGCCAGGGATTCGGACCCTGTACTGTAGTTAAGATTTCTGTTATCTAACCCTGGATCATGGTTGGTAGTTGTAGCAACGTAGGAAGGGGAGGCAGGTAACTCATCGGCTGAAAATCAATGCCTGCTCTGGCTGGGTAGGGTTAGAGCGTCCTCCAGATACGCCGAGGTTGCCAGTGGATCCCTGGTCAGGGCACATACAAGAATCAAACCATGAATGCGGAAATAAGTGGAGCAATTCAGTGTTTCTCTCGTTCTCCCTAAGTCTCTTCCTACTTCCCTCCCTCCCTCCCTCCCTCTCAAAAACTCAATAAATAAAAAATAAAAAAGAACATTAATGCCTATGAATGCCCCTGTACTTCCAGGCTGTCCTGCTCATTAACTGAGTGAGCTTGTAAGAGGAAACTCTAGGCAGAAAAGCAGGGAGACCCATAGGGCCCTTGGGAAGAGCTGCTGTCAACCTGCACAGAACTGCCCCCTGCAGCTGGGCTGAAATCACAAGTGGACCATGGGGCCCTGGCCGGTTTGGGTCAGTGGTTAAAGCTCTGGGCTGGGGATCAAAGGGTCTCGGGTTTGATTCCCAGTCAAGGGCATGTACTCGGTTTCGGGTTCAATCCCAGGCCCCTGTTGAGGCATGTGGGGAAAGCCACCAATCAATCTCTCTCTCTCTCTCCCCCTCCCATCCACTCTCTAAAAATCAATGGAAAAATATTCTCGGGTGAGGATTAACTCTAAAAAAAAAAATCAATGGAAAAGAAAATCCTTTGGTGAGGATTAAAAACAATTTTTTAAAGAAAAAAGAAAAGAAATGGGACGGGGATGTGTAACATCTGCTGTATCTGTTTGTTAAGTCTTAAAATTTCAGTATTAGTAACGCCTAACATCTATATAACACTTACCGTGTGCTGAGCACTATTCTAGTTCTACATTTGTATGTTGTTTTGTTTTGCTTTTTTCCAAGCCAAACTGTATCTAGCTTTATTAAAGATACTTTTCATAAACAGTCATGGTCTTTCAGGCAGGACATGGGCAGACAATCGTTAACAGTATACAACAACTTTCAAACTCCCTTCTTCAATGAACTACCAAAATCAGAAAGCCACCGTAAAACCCAATGAAGTCTTCATCTGATGCTCTGAACAGGGAAAGTTTAGAGTGAGGGTTGACATTTGACATTGAGCATGTTGTTTAACAACTTTTCACAAGCCGACCCTGACTTTCAGAAATGAAATGAAAATGGCAGAGAACATCAATCTGTAGATCCACAATCTAAAGAGGAACTGCTGCTCTTTTGAGGGAGACCCTCTCAGTGGTGACACTGGGAAGTCCAGGTTGCCCAACATACTGGAAATCAATTTTTTGGGGTCAGGTCCCCATAGGTCTCTGGGCTTAAGAGAGCCAAAGTCTATGCTTAAAGTGGAGAGGGAGAAAAGGACATAAAAACGAATTTTAGTTTTCCCACACGACAAGGTGTTTGTGCCAGGATGGCTAATGTGTGTCAACATCAAGAGATCCCTCCTCTCAGGAACCAAGAGGAAGTTTCTCAAAACCAGAAGGCAAAGGTATTTCCCACCTACCCCCCCACCCCATGTCAGTCCAGCTTTGGAGACATTCTATTAGTACTGTATGTCCTTTCCCACAAAAAAATAACAATGAAGTGTTCTGTGTGCTAACAACATAGCTTAAAAAAAAAAAAGTAAAGCCCTAACCGGTTTGGCTCAGTGGATAGAGCGTTGGCCTGCAGACTGAAGGGTCCCAGGTTCGATTCCGGTCAAGGGCAGGTACCTTGGTTGCGGGCACATCCCCAGTTAGGGGGTGTGCAGGAGGCAGCTGATCGATGTTTCTCTCTCATCAATGTTTCTCTCTATCCCTCTCCCTTCCTCTCTGTAAAAAATCAATAAAATATATTTTTTAAAAAAGTAAAACAAAATTCTGCATTTTTATAAAACTTGATAAAAAATAGTATTTCAAACTGTACAGTCACCATGAAATACACAGTTAAAAAAAATGCACACACTTCATTTGGCATCTCCAGCACCTTCAGCTTTCTGTGCCTGTCTGTTTTGGCATCTCCATTTTCCGCAGGATTATTCCCATCATTGCTAGCATCAGCTTTCCCCTTTTTCCCTTTCCGTACCTTCTCTCCCTTCTTTGCAGGGGCCTTTTTAGGCTTGGGCTCTGGCTTTGGAGGAGCAGGTTTAGCTGATAACTTGGTGGATCTTCTCTGTGGTTCGTCCTTCACCTTGGCTTTATCTCCTTTAGCATCCCCTTCAGCCTTTCTCTTGGGCATGATGGCGATGGTGGTGGGACGTCCGAGCGGGACGCAGGGATGCAGCAGCACGCGGGTCTTGCTCGGTCCAAGGGTCGATCTCGTCTCCTCACACTGCTCCATTTGTCCATTGTTTAACTTGTACTTCATTAATAGTGAGAAACTACTTTGGACATTTCACAACTAGTTCTAGCCGGTGTGTTGGAACCCTGAAGTTAAGAATTTTCAAGGAAGGCAGTTGGGAGTTGTTGATGTAAATATTACTCAGAGAAGTGATGTAACCAGATTTTTAAAAAATTAAACATCAGTGTGTAGAATGGACACAAGTGGGAGGTGGGTGAGTCTGTTGTCTAACCAGAAACCAAGGTCTAATCAGACCAGTGTGGTTGGGATCCAGTTCTCACTCAAATGAGCTAAGGGATATGTGAGAACATTCTTTTAAAGGATAGCAGGTGCTTCTCCTGCCGTTTAGTAGGAGAGACACACTGTAATACAAGGCAGAACACAGTAAGTTCCTTAAGAGGGACACAGACAAAGTGCTATGGATGTTTGGAGTAGGCTAAGGTTGCTTCTAGTTTGGGGAAAGGGGTAGGGGAAATAGAGAAGCATTGTAAGTTGTAAGCCTTGAAGAACCAGCGGCGTTTGGATGTGTGGGGATAAGGGGGAAGGGATATTCAAGAAAAGGGAGAATGTGTATAGTCCAATTTGTGTGGCTCATAGGCCAAGAAGAAAGGAAGTGTGAAAGAAGATCAGCCTTGAAAAGTAGATTGGGGCCTTTTTTATGTTCTGGCTAGCTTCATGGTAATGGATATTTTTTGGCAAAGAACAAGGAGACAGGCCCTGTGTCCCCTCTCCTGGGTTCAAGGCCTATCGTTTTCTAGGGGTACCTTAAATTCTGTGCAAAGAAGGCCTCATAAATGTTGGTTGTCTGGTCAGATAGGAGTTCCTTATTTGGGGTCCACAAAAAGGTGCCAAGAACTAAATAAACCTTGGAAACCATGTGTAATTTTTGTGTGTGTATACATTTTTGAGAAGCAATTCTTATCCAGAAAAGATTAAAGAAGCCTCAATCTAGGCCAACCCCCTGTGTTACTGAAGTTCAGCAAGAGTGGTTAGTGACAGAATTGGGACTAGAACCTGGATCCCCTAGGTCTCCAGCCCAGGTCACTGCTCCTTCCACACTGTGTCACTCGAACCCTGTCCAGAACAACACAGTTCAGTGGTAGTGATGAGCATCAACGTCTGATTTAATTTTCATTCATACCACTTCTCTGAATCCCAAATCTATACTAGTATATCCATCTTCCTATTCAGTCTCTCTATTTGGATGTTTACAGGGATCTAAATTGTATTACATCCAAAATCGAACTCTTGAACTTCTCTTTCCAAACCTGCTTCTTCCTTGTACTTCTCTGTCCCAGTAAATGGCACCACTATCCACCCACTCAAGTTAGGAACCTGGAGTCATTCTTCATACCTCCCTATCCTCTTACTCCTGCCGTCACTATGTCTTAATGAGTCAACCTCCCAAATAATTCCCAAACCTGTTCACTTATCTCCATCTCCACCACTAGCACTCTGCCCAAAGCCCCATCAGCTTCCATCAAACCATTAAAGTAGCCTATCAGCTTGTCTGCCTGCTTCCAATCTATTCTAGTCTACTCTGTGACACTCCTCCCAGCTATTCTCCTCACAGAAAATGGAATGATCTTGGCACTCCCTTGAAACCATATTGCACTTCTAAAATACTCAATAGAATTTCTTACCCTTCATACATGCTGTCCCTTCTGCCAGAAATGTTCTTTCTCGCCTCTGTTCGCCTGGGTTGCTTTACCTTTTCTTTCAGAACTCAGCTTCAGTGGTACTTCCGCAGAGTGGCCTTGCTGATTATTCTTCCATACCAAC